GGAGCCAGGCGCTTGGGAAGAAATGCCACCTGAAGGAGGGGAGCCTGGGCAGAGCGGGAGGAGGGCTCCCAAGGGGCAGGGACTCCGCCTGACATGCCCGGAGGTTCTTGGCAACCACGATGAACATGTGCCCGGCCGCGCTCAGCCAGCCCCAGCAGTGTGCTCCCAGGCAGCCCAGACAAAGGCGTGAACTCTAGACCCCAGCGTCCCGCAGGAGAGATGACACACATCTTGTCGAGCAGGGTGATCCAAGGCAACTCTGAGGGCCCTTGTTACATTCTTGAGCTCTAGGGGAGGCGGGCGCTCGGGTTTCGGTTGTTCTTGGCCTCCTCACTGACCCGGGGCGCTAGTTCCTCCTCTCCTCTCCTCTCCCCCTTCCTCCCCACCTTCCCTTTAAAAAATATTTAAAGGCTTTTGTCAGTAAATGACCTTATTCATAAGGCAGGCGTGCTGACAGTTTGCAGAGCTAAATGGGCACTTAACCGTGTGTCTAATAAATCTGCAACAAAAATAAACAGAAGGGAAGAGGGTTTGGGAACGAAAGGAGGTCAGGTATGAAAGGAACCTGTCACGGTGATTTACCACTGCCCCGTCCCCTCCTGGCCACCGCTGACCTGGATTTACCAGAGGCCAAGAGCAGCGCAGCCGGAGGGAGGCCACGGCAGAGCAGGGCTGGGTGGGCGCAAACGGTGGCGGGGGAGGAGGCAGGGAGCCCTGCCGTCACTGCCCCTGGTGAGGCAAGCACAAGATGCAAAGAAGCCAAAGCAGGCCAGTGCCCAACCGCCTGCCCTTCAGGATCCACGCCCAGATTACCAATGGTATTACCAGGATCTCTCTGCCCTCCCCAAAACACCCTCCACCCAGGATTTGGGTGACAATCTGGGATTAGAGGCATATTCAGGTGAATTTAGCTAACACCTGTTGTTGCAGTGTTAATCACCCTTCCAGGTGCACAAGGGACCTGAGACATTAACCCTCTCCTAGCAGGCCTAGCCTGGTGGAGATGTACTTTCCACCAGGTTATTTAGGGATGTACATTCCACGAATCCCCTTCCTTGCCCATCTCATCTCGCAGGTGGAAACACCGCAAAAGCCTACCTGGAATCCCTGCTCCGCCCCAAACTCACTAAAGTGTAAGTTTCTCCAAGAAGATTCTAGCTCATTTGAGGGTGGGGACATATTGCTGCACCCCTTGCGCCCATGCACACACACACACGCACGCACACACACACTCCTCTCCCTCGTTAGCACTCCCACAGTGCTCATCGCAGGACAGGGTTGAGGAAATACCTGGGGACTTCAACTGTGGCGAACACTGCTTGCAGCTGCTTCTAGGGGCAGGAGCTTCTGACCCCGGTGGCTTGGGGCCTCTCTCAAGTCACTGCCGTCTCTCGTCTCTCCCAGTCTCTTCCTCTGCAGGTGGAGAGGATGCTTCTGGCTACCGCCCATCCCAAGGCTTTAGATTTCGCTCCAGCTACGACCTTCCACTCACTGCCCTCACAGCATGAGAGCCATTTGGTAATGGTTTGAGGCTCAGCAAACCTTTGGACCATATAGAAGCAAATCAGAGGGCACCGTGACCAGAACACGAGCTCACTGTTAGGCAAGTGCCCTTGGACACCTACCAGGAGGCCAGGACCTGCTCAGCAGTCCTTTACTCTCTAGCATAAAAGATACGAGAGTGGGAGCAGAGGCACTGCTCCTGGCTGCCTCGCCTTGTGTGGCCAAGGAAGACCCCGACCCCATCCCTGCATTAGGACAAAGTTGAACTACAGGGAGCAGCCTGCGGCTGAAAGGGTTTCCACACCCCCACCCCACCCCTGAGAAGGCACAGACTTGTCCACACCGGAGGAGGGGAGGCTGCGAATGACGAAGGCCGTCTGCAAGGCCCTGGCCCTGGGCTTGGCTGCTGACTTGCTGCGATCCAGGGTCAGACAGCCTCTCTCTGACTCACGAGCTTCCTGTAAAACCAGAAGAAACAGCCTATTTCACAAGCCGAGGGGCAGCCTCAGCTAGGAGAGCTTGTTGCACGCAGTGCTCTCAACCCTCGCGGAGGAGAGGCTGTGCGAGGAGGCCGCCGTCTCCGTGCGGGCAGCTTTGGTGTGTGGTCAGCTTGCCACTGCCCTCTCCCCTCCTCTGGGAAACTTTAAAAAGCAGCAACCGACCAGACCTTCAAATAAGACCCTGGACCCTCAGGGCGACCTTTCTGGATACCACAGAAGTGAGAGGACGCTTTTGTCTAGCGAGGCCCAGAAGGTCGAGATGGCTGGACACTGAGGAAGCTGAGCCAGTGAGGGAAAGTGCTCCGCGGAGGGGGCTCCTGGCTGCCGGGGGGCTCGGAACCTAATGAACAAATTAAACTGGTGAACAAAGTGGAACCAGAAGCATGGCTACGTGGACAGACTGGGGGAGCCAAGGGGCAGGGGTGGGTGGCTGTGTAAAGAGGGTGAAGAACATATGTGCATGTCCCAGGGACATGGACAATAGTGTGATGAGGCCAAGGGAAGGGGGGCCAGGAGGAGGGGAAGGTGGGCAAAGGGGGTGGTTGTGGATAGGGGACACCTGCAGTAATGTCAACATGAAAAATTTTTAATAAAAACGAAGGCTCTGCACAGAACGGCCTGTTTACCTGGATTCATGGAACGCCTGTGGAGTTGGTTCTGGATGCTGTCTCGAGAATCTCGAGTCTTGGGAACTGGAGGGAAAAGGGAAAGACTGAGGTGGAGGGAGCAGGGCTTGGCGCCGAGTCAGTGCCCACTGGCATTCCGAAGGCCCAGCCTGTCACAGGGCAACGCCACACAGAGCTGAGGCCGGAGGACAGGCCCAAGGCTTGTAAGTGCACTTGACCTTGGGCTCAGGGCTTCCCAACAGAAGGAAAGATGATCCAAGGTCTTAAACCCTCCACCAAAATCCTTTCAATCCCGGGGGACAGTAAACAATAGCAAAGATGAGAGGCCACAGACTCAGGGCTGGAGTCAGAAACAGTGGCGGGACCCAGGCGCAGGAAAACTGTGTGTCACATGTACATGTACAAGGACAGTCACTATCGAACACCTGCGATAATGGTAGTATGAGAGTCCAGGACCAGGGACCAAACACCATCGTGGGAACACAGAATCCAAATGAAGGGCCCCTGGAGGCCAGGAGGGGTAAATAAGACAAAACAATTCCTCAGGAGTGAGACTCAAGTTGGCACAGATCCACCCGCTCACTTTGGCCACCGAGTACATGCTTTGGCCCTTGTGACACCACCTGGTAGGCAGATCATGAAACTACGTGGGGTGGGCTGGAGGTGAGGGAGACGGCTTCTGCACGCAGCACACAGGAAACCTCGCACAGACACTGGGTGCGGTCTGCACAGACTGGTTCTCGAAGGCCAAGTCTTCCCCTCCTTTGTCTATTCACAAGAGTTAAGGGACAAAACTGCTCTCTCTTTGTTGATCTCAACTGCGAAAGCAATGCAGGCACTGCCTCCGCAAGGGCAAGGTGGCAGCCGCTTCCCCACGGTCCCCGCTAACAGGGAAGCGGGCGGCCAGAGTGCTGAAAGCAAGCAGGCCACGCCTGTTTCACTTCGAAAAGAATGATACGATTCGTGTTACAGAACTAGTAACGGGCTTTGCTTCCTAGTCGAGGCCATTATTAAAGTCAGTTGATATTCCCTGAGCCCCGCTGGGCAGTTACCATGTAATTAATAACGGACAGTCCACAGGATGGGTGCTCTGCCCTGTAGGACGTCACCAGTGAACACCAAGGCGGAGGATCCTGCCAACCCTGTGGGACCAGCCTCTGGGCCATCTGCAGGACAGTCAGATGGGAGTCGAGTCCTCACTTCAGGAGGTCTGGAGCCCACCTCTTCCCGGGTCTTCTGAAAAGTGGGGCATCCTTTTGAACTTAAAAATCACAGAGCACACCCAGCCAAGTCATTCTCAAGTCTTCCTTTGTTAAAAGTTGCAGAACCCGTCACCCAAGTGCACACTTGGTAAAGAAAGGTAAACAAGAAACCGATAAAAATGGTTCCCTGCAGGGGACAGAGGGCAGAGCACAGAGGGGACAGGAGGGAAAGCAAGACCTCTTTTTACACAGCTTGATATCTGAAGCAAATAAGTGGATTATGTCTTTGAAAAAGGCATAAAAAGTTTTTGCAGTTGGAAGCCCAGGCTGTTCAGGACCTGACAGTGGAGCGGCCCCGCAGGAGGCAGTGGGAGGGGAGGGGAGCGGAGCCCAGCCACCCTGCTCCGTCCGCACCCAAGGGCGTCTTGGTGTGTCTGACATTTGCTCTCTGCATTGAGACATCACTGGCCGGGCCCAGGCTTTTATTTTATTTTTTCCTAGCTGGGAAACTAAAGCCCAGGGAGCCGGGCCCTGTCTCTGGGTCTCTCCATAAGACATATTCAGAAAGGGTAAAATGCACTCCCCAAAAGAAACAATACGCCCAACCCTTTTGAAAGATTTTTAATTAAAAAATAAAAGTTATCTTAACATATCTGCATTGCAGCTTTGACGATGGCAACTTAATGGAGCAAGAAAAACAAGGCTTATGGGTTCTTAAGTCACCTGGATCATCTTAGAATGGGTTCCAAGGCACACGTGTCTTCAAACAAACAAACTTTATTCAGAAACAACGGTAAGAACTCAGAACTCCCTTCCCCCAATTCTTTTCAGCCCGCCCTCATCAACCACCCCCCCCAAACAACAACCAAAACATTAAATTCTCTTTTTAAAACTACAGAAATAAGTGCTGAGTCAGCGAGGAGCCTGGGCAAGCGGCCCGCGCCCTCCCCCTTTCTGCTTTGCTGCCTGGCTGCCCAGGGGCCGGGTGAGGGAGCCAGGGCGGCTTCCACCGCCCGAGGCGGGGCCCTTGCGGGTCCCAGGCCGCCACCCAGCTGGGGCAGGCAGTTCCAAGGCACTGTGTCCCTTTAGTAAGGGCATCCTGTGGCTAAGGCATCCTTTCAGGAGGAGAAAGGCCTATGGCAAGCAAGTCTTCTCAAATGCTTGCCATGAAAACGCCAGGAGGCCTGTGGGAGGGAGGGAGGGAGACAGGTGGCTGGCTCTCTTCGCCCTCAGTTTACCAGGCTTTGGGAAGATTTTCTCTCCTGTTCTCCTGCCTCCTTTCTTTCCCTTCTCCCCAGTTTCCCCCTCCCCTCGAAGAGTTTTATTTTAGCTTGATGGTGGGGGTTCGGAAGAGGCTACTGGCAACTCCTGCGGCTGGCCTGGGGGCTCTGCCAGCTCTAAGGGGACAGCGCATGCTTTAGGTTCCTGCGTGTCACAGAGCTCCTCCGGTCCCTGCGAGGGCGTGGGGCACTCCTGGCTCTGGGCCTGGCCACTCATCTTCTCTTCAGCTTCAATCTCCTCTGAGGTGGGGATGGAGTTCTTCTTGGGACGACCTTTGGGCTTTGTGGGTGCTTCCTGGCCACCTTTAAGAACCTACATGGGAGGAAAATGATCATTAAATCCAAGAAATAACTCCTTCCCTCCACTTTACCACTCAGAAGCACCCATGTCATCCCTTTACAGCAGTGACAGAGTTTGGGAAAAAGGACCTTCAACCTGTCACCTCCAGGCTACAAACACATCTGCATTTTTAAATGCTCAGTGCACTTTAAGCCAATGTAGCAGACGTTTTGGCATTAAATAAAAGGATCAAACGCACATAAAAAAATCCAACTCAATAATGAGGATAGAAATAAAAATTAAAATATTAATGTGGTATCAATGAAGTCGACAAGTTAAAAAAAAGACAATATTTGTAGCAAGCCGGGAAATAAGCACTCATACTCCTGTGCCAAGTTGTAATTGCTACAACTTTTCAAAGGGAAACCTGAAAATTCAAATCAAATGTTTTAAAATGTGCATACTTTGACACAAAAATTCCACTTGTAATAATTTAGCCTAAGAAAGTCATCAACGACAAAAATCGATCTGCAAAAATATTCATGACAAAATTGGAAAAAAATTACTCTAAATGTCCCACCATGATTGGGTAGATAATTATAGTATATCCCAAAGAGAGAATACTTGATGACCATTACAATTATTAAGTAGGAGGATGTTTAATAACATGGGGAATATTAATATTTTGGTGTGAAAAAAAGGTTACAAATTAGCATATTTCAATTTGAAGAAGTAATGACTGAAAACTTCCCCAACCTGGAGAAGGAAATAGACATACAAGTCCAGGCAGTACAGAGAGGCCCACAGAAAGACACTTCATAAAATGGCAAAGCTTAAAGACAAATTGAGAATCTTAAAAGCAGCAAGAGAAAGGCAGTTATATACCTACAAAGGAATTCCCATAAGGCTATCAGCTGATTTCTCAACAGAAACTTTGCAGGCCAGAAGGGATTGGCACAAAGTACTCAAAGTCCTGAAAAGCAAAGACCTGAAACTAAGACTACTCTACCCAAACTGGCTATTGTTTAAAATTGAAGGAGAGATAAAAAGCTTCCCAGATAAGAAAAAGCTAAAGGTCATCACCACCAAACCAGTATTACAAGAAAAGTTAAAGGGACTTTTTTAAAAAGAAGAACAGAAAAAAAACATACATATGAATAATAAATGGCAATGACAACATATCTATCAATAATCACTTTAAATGTAAATGGATTAAATGCTTTACCCAAAGCAATCTATAGATCCAGTTCAAACCCTATCAAAGTATTGATAGCATTTTTCACTGAACTAAATGAGTGATCCAAAAATTTATATAAAACCACAAGGGACCCTGAATAGCCATGCCGATCTTGAGAAAGAAGAACAAAGCTGGAGGTATTGTGCTACCTGATATCAAACTATACTACAGTAGTCAAAGCAGCATGCTACTGACATAAAATCAGACACATAGATCAATGGAACAGAATAGAGGGCCCAGAAATAAACCCACGCCTATATGACCCATTAATCTATGAAAAAAAAGCAAGAACATACAATGGGGTAAAGACAATCTACTCAATAAATGGTGTTGGAAAAACTGGACAAACACATGCAAAAAAAGAAAAGAAACTAGACCATCTTCTTACACCATAAACAAGAACAGACTCAAAATGGATTAAAGACTTAAATGTAAGTCCTGAAATCATAGAAGTCCTAGAAGAAAAACAGGCAGTAAGCTCTCTGACANACACCATAAACAAGAACAGACTCAAAATGGATTAAAGACTTAAATGTAAGACCTGAAATCATAGAAGTCCTAGAAGAAAAACATAGGCAGTAAGCTCTCTGACCTTGCTCTTAGTGATATTTTTTTCTGATTTATCTACTCAGGGAAGGGAAACAATAGAAAAAAAATAAGCAAATGGGACTACANTGATATTTTTTTCTGATTTATCTACTCAGGGAAGGGAAACAATAGAAAAAGAATAAGCAAATGGGACTACATTTAACTATAGTTAAATGTAGTTGAAGTTTTGTATAGCAAAGGAAATCATCAACAAAACAAAAAGGAAACCTACTGAATGGGAGAAGATACTCACCAATAATATACCCAAAAAGGAGTTAATATCCAAAATTTATGAAGAACTCATACAACTCAACACACACACACACAAAATGGCAGGAGACCTGAATAGGCATTTCTTCAAAGAGGACATGCAGATGGCCAACAGACATATGAAAAGATGCTGTACACCACTGGTCACCAGAGACATGCAACTTAACACCACAGTTAGATACCACCTCACACCTGTCAGAAAGGCTATCACCAATAAATCAGCAAACAATGAGTGTTGGCGAAGACAGGGAGAAAAGGGAACCCTCATGCACTATTGGTGGGGTTGCAAATTGGTGCAGCCTCTACGGAAAACAGTGTAGAGGTTCCTCAAAAAATTAAAAATCGAGCTACCATATGACCCAGCCATTCCACTTCTGGGTATTTATCGNAATCGAGCTACCATATGACCCAGCCATTCCACTTCTGGGTACTTATCTGAAGAAATCCAAAACACTAATTTGAAAAGATACCACTATGCACCTTTATATTCATTGCAATGCAATTTTCAATAGCCAAGATAAAAAATCAACCTAAGTGCCCCTGATTGGATAAAGAAGATGATACATATATAGAATGGAATATTACCCAGTTATAAAAACAATGATGCCTGGCCGGGCGTGGCTCAGCGGTTGAGCATCGACCTAGGATCCAGGAGATCGAGGTTCGATTCCTGGTCAGGGCACATGCCCGGGTTGAGGGCTGGATCCCCAGTTGGGGGCGTGCAGGAGGCAGCCAATCGATGACTCTCTCATCACTGATATTTCTATCTCCCTCTCCCTTCCTCTCTCTGAAATCAATAAAGATATATTTTAAAACAACAACAATAAAATATTATCATTTGTGACAACATGGATGGATCATGTTGTCACAATAAATCAGACAGAGAAAGGAAATACCATATGATTTCATTTGTATCTGGACTCTAAAGAACAAAATAAATGAACAAACAAAACGGAATCAAACTCATAAATACAGAGAACAAACTGGTGGTTGCCAGATGGGAGGGGAGGTGGGGGACTGGCTGAAAACAGTAAAGGGGTTAAGAACTACAAATTGGTAGTTACACAACAGTCATGGGGGTGTAAAATACAGCACAGGAAATAGAGTTGAAAATATTGTGACTTACTGGGGAGACCACTCAGTAAATTACCTAAGTGTCTAACCACTATGCTGCACACCTGAAAACTAATATAAAATAATATTGAATGTCAACTGTAATTGAAAAATTTTAAAAAGATTGAAGATGCCAAAACATGCAGTGGTATATTGTTCAAAGAAGTAGAGCGTAGTAGATAGTGTTCCAGCTTTGACAGTGGAATAACTAGATTAAATTCTAACTCTGTTGCTTACCACCTTTGTCTTTGGGAGAGTCCTTTAAAGAGTCTGAGCCTCAGTTTCCTAACTTGTAAAATGGGGATAAGACCTTAACTCACAGGGTGCTGGTGAGGGTGATGGACAGATATGTATATGAAGGACCAGAACTGTCCTGAACGGAAGATTTCTTCTGCCCAGAATATACCTGGCACCCTGCTCACCTGGTTAACTCCGATTAGATAGGCTCTTCCTGGGAGGCTTCCCTGAGCTCCCAAGTCTAAGTTAAATGCCCTCCACAGTATTCCCTCTGAGCACGCTGTACTCTCTCCATCAGAACAGGACAGGGACTGTCCTTTCATTAAGGACAGTCCTTCCATGCTCACCTGCCTGTCTCTCCCACTCAGTCAACAACCATTACTGAATGAAGTAATCTTTCGCAGCAGGCCTTCCCATTGTGCCAAAGAAAGCGAGTGAAATAAGAGTGAAATGGCCTTGGGATTTCAAAGGACTTGCACATTTATTATCCCAATTTGTGACTTACCCGAAAATAATGAGATAGGAATAATTTTAGAAATATCTTTACGTTACTCTAGAATATAACACACTCCTTCCTCCGCTGACTCAATGCTGGCGTGGCGTGGCTGCTGATTTTCTGGGCAGCCAGTGCGAAGGGCTGGCACAGGTAATCAGGAGTGGCATATATGCTTGCTGCTTACCTCCCTAGCTTGCTCTTATCTTCCCCACTCGCACAAAAGCTCCTTGAAGGTAAATCCTGCATCTATCCCTTGCTCTTTGCAGCCCAAGCATCTAACTTCCAACTGACTCTCTATGCAGTCACGAAATATTTGTTGCCTACATCTTCCCGAAACAGCCACAGAGTGCTCCCTGGTGCTGAGCTGTAAGAATAGACGTAGTAACTTGGTAAACAATAGTCCTTCAAAAAAACACACAAAACTTTACTGAGATATAATTCACATGCCATCCATTTTATCCATTTATGATGTACAATTTAGCAATTTTTAATCACATAATTGTGCAAATATCACCAGAGCCCAATTTTAGAACATTTCATCACCCCCCAAAAGAAACCCCATGCCCATGAGCAGCCACTCCCCATTTCTCCCCAATCTCTGCCCCCCAACCCTAGGCAACCACCAGTCTGCTTTCTGTCTCTACAAACTTGCCTGTTCTGGACATTTCAAACGAATGGCATCATATAATACGCCATCCTCTGTGACCGGCTTCTTTCACTTAGCCTCATGTTTCCAAGGAACATCCATGTTATAGCACGTGCCAGTGTTTCTTTCCTTTTTACGGCCGAATAACACCCACTGTCTGGACACATCACACTCTGCTGACCCATTCATCAGCCAATGGACACCTGTGTTGCTTCCACCTTTTGCCTATTGTGAACAGTGCTGCTCTGAACACGGGTGTGCAAATACGTGCGCAAGTCCCTGCTTTCACTTCTTTTGGGTACATGCCCAGAAGTGAAATTGTTGGTTCACATGGTAAGTGGACACTGAACATTTTGAGGAACTTGCACACTGTTTTCCAAAGCAGCAGCACCACGTTACAGCCGATCAGCAGCGCATGAGGACCCAGTTCACATCCTCACCAGCAC